ACTAAAAGGTTCCTTCAGCTCGTCTGCGTTTTCACTGCTGTCTAAAGACCAGCAAATATTAGGTAAATTAGTCGTGTTATAGTGGCATGCAAAAATCGCTTTTACATGCCACTATAAAGCAACGACCATCATCAGTCTATTGTATGCTTTCTTCTGGAACTCTATCATGTTGATGACCAATTAGTTTTGCTTTGACACGCACAATGACAAAAAGAAAATTGGTTTGTGGCTGCAGATTGGTGGCTGAAATAAAATAAAAAGTATTAGACCAATCACAAATGCTCAACGCTGCAAGCTCCGCACCCAAAGTTTCTGCGCTTTTGGAAAGCACAAGCGTGGATTTTTTTTCTGGGGTAAAATTATATTCCCGGAACTTAATTTAATCAGGTACCTGCAGTGGAAATCCACTTCCAAAGGTTCCTAGTGCCTTCGGTGGAAACGGCGGCTTATGAGTCAGACAGGATCTTGGTGACTCAACACTGCACAACACTGCTTTGTCTCAACAGGAGCGTGTGGTTGGTCTCCACATCATGGGCCCCAATGCTGGAGACATCCTCCAAGGCTTCGTTGCAGCGATGAAATGCGGCCTTACTAAACAACAGCTGGACGCCACAGTGGGCATCCATCCCGGGTCAGCCCAGGTCAGCATCCCTTAATCCACACTACTTCATAAAAACACGGCTTTGATGGCTATTGAAGCACAAAATGACTACTTGCTGCTTTTGACACCTATTGATTCCCCCCCCCCCGGCAATGATATTAATTCACTGTCACCTCCTTGAATTTTCCCTCACTCCTGCTTCCAGGCACTGTGCTGAGGAGGTCAGTTTTGAGATATTACCATGTTCAGTCTTGAAAAAAAGCTCTGCTGTCGGGGTCAGTGCCAGACCAGCAGATTCAAAATGAGCTTCCTGCTATGACATGCTGCCCTGTCTTGAATTTTCAATGGACCAATATTTAATAAACCTCGTCGCTCGCAGTCCACTCTGTGGAGACTGAACCCCACAGTACGATGAGCGGGTTGTAATACTGTAGGCATTTTCAAACTTGATTAATAAGACATGTAAAGGAGTGTTAAATAGAGGTCACTTGTCCTGGCGGCGTCAGCTAGAAGGGGTTTAGGATATTGTGTAATGGCTAACGGGACAGATTCCCTTGCTGACTGATTTAATTAGGTAAATTGATCGCTCTGAGGGGAAGGAGGATCCTGTAATTAATGAAACCCTTTTATTGACACTGTGTTTCACAGGTTAGGAAGCATCAAAGATTTGATCTTAGAATTTCAAATGTGTGTTTAGCATATGTGCGTCATGGTTCCCAATCTAACTCAATTATATTGCGTTTTTTTTGACTTGATGTTTACTGCTGTTCTCTGGTCAAAACTTACTGAACTGCCAAACCTCTTTTATTAGTGACAAATGTGCTGTTAGATAGCAATCACTCATACTATGCATTACACAGAAACAGAGTTTGTAACTTATGATTATATGTTACTTCAGATTTTAAAAGTCCAGTATGTGCAGAGTTGTGTGATACAGCATCTTGCAGGATCTACTCAGATCACCTTCAGTCATTCAATATGACTGTGTTAATGTGAAATGTGTTGTGACGTCGAAGTGAGGACCACAGAAGAATTATATTTGCCCACTGCAGCTTCCCCTCAGCACTACTGAGCCTTTTAGCACATTTAAGCTAAAACTATAAACCACCTCCACGCTACCTTCCCAGCACCAAAAAAGCAGACAGATAAAGTTGGCAAGTACTGTAGAGCAGTAGTAGATAGTAATAGAGCGTTTTCTGGTAAAGAATAATAGGAAAGCACATTTAAAACTGTCTTTCCACAGTTCTTTCAGCAATCAGAAAAGCTGGTTTGGTCAAAATAAACTCACAGAGTTTCACAATTCACAGATTTAGATAAGAAAAAAGCTGCAAAATAGGTTGCTATGGCTGCCATGTAACGTTAGATAATCCTCTGGGACAAATGGACTTGACACAGTGCTTGTTGTTGCCACTGAAAGGCTCAAATTGTTATTTTAGGTGTCTGACATTATTTTGTTTAACCAGAAACAGCAGTTATATCCCTATCGATCACCACCAGACTCCATAGACAAAAACAGTAATTTTACCTCACAAATATTATATCATCATAACCTCATTCAAAGTGGACAGAAACACAATAAAACTAACCAAAACTATCTCTGTTAGTCCACTGTTTCAACAATCACTGACTCTGGTTTCGTTGAAATAAACCTTTAGTTCACTGATGTAGATGAGAATACAGTTGTTGCAGTCACTGTCCTCAGTTGTACATGGAGGGACTCACATGCACGTGCGGCCAGACTGGCTTTGTAAACAAACCAGTAGCAACTGTTAATGGTAGCAACACAGGCAGAGTGTGACGTCATTCTCTGCTCAGGACACCATGACTACACTATCTCCTTATATAGCTTATAGTTGTTTGCTACATTAATGTTATCTTAATATTTAAAATCTCATATATATAACCTTTAAGTCATCAATTTTCCGTATCAAAAGTCTTAACTTGGGCTTGGATTTTCAACTAATAAATGTTACTAAATATAAAATCTGCTTTTATGTAGCAAAGGACAAAGTAAAGTTTGTTTTCTTTCTTCATACAGGTGCTCAGCTCATTGACCCAAACCCAGCGTATGTCTGAGGCCTTGATGATGAGGGGAAACTGCTGAGGTTAGCCCCCTGCTGTCAGTCACAGTTGCCTATGGCAACGTTGTAAGACAGCAGGGAAGGGCTTTGCGATCACCCTGAGTAGTGACGGCGGCAGGATGGCCGGCTGACCATCTGATGACATCTTCACCTGAATCCTGACAGACAGGCGGGCGAGGATTGATGCTCTGCTGCTGACACACTTCTCGTTTTGTGCGTTGTTTGTGTCTGCGCTGCTTTTTAGGTTTGTTTGCATTTTTTATGAATCGTATGCTTCAAGCAGAACTTTGAAATATACAGTACCATTGATGCATTTTTATGACTCTCAACTTTAAGGAAGATAAGATGCTCCCCTAAGGTTCTGCCTCTGAAAGCCTCTGTAAGCTTTAATACAGCTGAGTTTTTAAAGGCTGCAGGAGAGTGATAAGACTCTGGGATTTGATGCATTTACATGGAGTGAAAGCTCAGGCTTATACTCTGTGTTTTTATTGCTGTGGCACAAGCCTCAGGGGTTTTACAGCCTTAATTTCATGTAATGAACTAGACGCGGATTATGGAATTACCCAAATTAATTGTGTTTATCGGCGAATGCGCTTGCTTTAATTGATACATATGGTGTCTTTATTGAGACATTAGGCCTGAGCTCCTGATGCACTGCCTTGTTTGCTTTTCCTCTTTTTTTATTCTCTCTCTGATTCTGCACCGCCGAGCATAGCAGCTGTCTTAAAACAACTGTTGAATATTCATGCAGATCATTAAGTGAAGTGTCCCATACAGATGAATGCAGGGCGCTGAGTGCAGATATTTCTTAAAAGCATGCCGCTGACCCTCTAAGTTTTCCCCGCCACCTCAGCTACACTCTGCATTCAAATCAGGAAATGTACATCTGTGAGCGTACAACATGGGTGTACTCCATGCAAGGGCACCATTTTCATTCTCTTGGTGTCCTGCAGCTTGTCACGAGTACAGAGGTTCCCGTCCACTCCATGTTAATGCCCGTTCGTGCATTGTGCTGTCGCTTGCCGAACAATGCAGCGATTAGATGCAAATTTAAATAAAGGTTATCCTCCAGACCACCTTCTGATTTCCTCCCTGACAGACCTGCTCGTATAAGTAAGACAGATATCCTAATTAGAAAAAGTGCACAGGAGTGTCTCTTTTGGCGTGTGCCTGAAAATGCCATTAGAGCATAATTCAATCAAAGCAAAGCAGCTTCTGTGACTTTGTGCAGGTCTCACAGCAAGGTTAAGATGCTGCATAAAGGTCTATCTATCAATGCCAGCTTGTCTTGGACAGTGTTCAGAGGTTTCACCTGAGCCCTGTGCAGTGTGTGCTGTCACACCACTAGATGGCACTGTGGAACAGGGCGAATGAAGCAATTCTCACTGAATGTTGTCATAACTGGAGAAAAAAATAAATAAAACTGATAAAAAAACATTGCATTCATACTGATTCTGCTATTACCATAATACCTGCAACTACTATTACTAATCCTACTGTTTTTACTGCTATACCCATAAAACCTCTTCTACTTTCACTATTACCACAGATAGGTCTACTACTGTAAGTAACACTACTGCAACCACTGGGATTAGTTCAATTACTGTAACTGTTACTATCACAATACATAAGTTATAGATACTTATATTACTATAACTACTTTTACCACTACTACAACTGTTAGTATTACTCTAACCATTGTACCAACAGTAGTAAAAGTATGCATTATGCAGGCCCAGTTTAATGTAATGTATACAGGTGCATCTCAATAAATTAGAATATCATGACAAAGTTCATTTATTTCAGTAATTCAATTCAAAAGTGAACTCATATATCATATAGATTATTGAACACAGAGCTGAACCTATTTCAAGCTTTATTTCTTTTATTGTGATGAATACTTGGCTTTTACAGCATATCAAAACCAAATTCAGCTATCTCAGCAATTCTGAATATTTTCATATATTTCATAAGACCAAGTAATTTTTAATACAGGAAATGTAAGCTACTCAACAAAGGTATGTTCACAGTAGTTCACGTCTCATATATAGTCGCACTCGATACATTGGGTCATACATGGCTTCTTTTGCATGAATTATATCCCATCAATTCGCGCGTGGCATTGGGAGGTGATCAGGCCCTGTGGACTGCCGAGGTTCGTTTATGGAAAGTCAGGTGCTGTTGGATAGTCATGTGCATTGCTCGGGTTTGGTGTCCTCTCACTCTTCTTCTTGCAGATAGTGATAGACCTACAGCTGCTATGCGCGGTTCAGGTCAGGCGAGTTTCGCTGGCCCATCGCGAATCACCACAGTACACCATGGTCCCATCTCGCAACAGGTATCTGGGTACTCCGCTTTGGCAGTGGTTGGGCCGGGTGCCCAGTCCTGCTGGAAAATTAAATCAGCATTCTCCATAAAGGATCCCATCTCACCTCCCCCCATAAAGGGCCATGCGAAGTGGCTCTAAAATGTCCTGGGAGATGGCTGTGTTGACTTTGGACCTCTTGAATAACACCAGGCTGGACGCAACCTAGCAGCGGAGACACCTGGCTCCCCAAATCATCACTGACTGTGGGACAAACTTCACACACTTGGACTCAAAAAGCACAACTTGGATTCTGTACGTTTCACACTCTTCTCCAGGAGGAAGACCTTCGATTCCCGAGATGAATTGCAAACTCAGCTTATCATCTGAAAGGGGTGCTCTTGGACCTTCTTCCTGCCATCAACTTCTCTACTGATATGCTTGGATATTCAGCTCTCTTTTAGGCGCATGACCTTTTGTGGCTACCCTCCGCTTGTGAGGGGGGTGGGCATGATTGTTCTTTCTGGACAACTGTGCAAGCCAGCAGTCTTCCCCATCGAGATTGTGTAGCCTACTGAACCAGCAGACCATTGGAGATTGAAAGACATTTAAAGGGCTCAAGAAACCTTCTGCAGGTGTTTTGAGTTATTAAATAGATTAGAGTGGGACATCGTGAGTCTACAATATTGAAACTATTAGTCCGTATAAATATTCTCTCTCATTTCTCTGGAGATACTGGATTTTTGGGTTTTTGTTACTGCGAAGCGCATAATACATCAAAATTAAAAGAAATAAAGGCTTGAAATATTTACTCGTGTGTGGTAACATCAGAATTCATACATCATACCTATCAGTTTACACTTTGCCTTTTGAAGTTGAAGTTACCTGAAATACGCGACCATGATCCCCTTGTGCCATCCGATATTCCCTCTAATCTCCTATTGAAGACTGGGCGACCTGTATGCTGATCCACACCCAGCCCCCGACCTGCGCGACTCCTTCCTTACCAGCATCTTCATTCCCACTTTAGGACCGTCCGCGCTCCTGAGAGCGGTGCAGGTGCACGGCTCACTTTTCAATGACTTTATAGCACCCCGCTGGATACGCTTGTGAATATCCACTCCATCCCATGAGTGTAGACGCTTGTCTTATTGTTATCCTAATCTATGGGGATAATCGACAGTCATAACTTCCATGCCTGGCTGATTCTACTTTTGTTTATGAATCTGAATCTACCAGTAACTAAATTAGTCAGATTAATACCCTTTAATTGCGAGGAACGTGGGAAACTCAGGAACGGTAAAGCAGCCTCAAAATCTGTATTAAGGAGCAGATTACTTGAGTAATAGTTCATTCCACCACTACATTTATCACTTCTTTCAATGTAGCTTTTGAATGACCCAGAATTTGCTAATAGAGTACTTAGTTGGAATTACTAACGCTCCCAGTGCATAACCTTTGCCCACTGTGCATCTAATAAGCAGTGGTTGCCGCACCCACTAGCTAGGGGGTCGCAAAGGCTTTGCTTCACTGGGTTGTTAGGTTCCTGGATTTTAAGGCTTGTAAGGGAAAACTTAAAAAATATACAGTAGGTCTTCTTCTTCTTGCTTTCTGATGAAAAAAAGTAAATGTAAATGATTACTTCTGTTAAGACGAAATTGTCTAAATCTAACAATTCGTGAAGCGCCGCAGAGCAAGAAAAACGGACTGAATTCTGTGACAGCAAACTAAGCTTCTTACAAGCTGCAAGCGAAGGTAAGCTTATGCAACAATTCACTTTTTGTCATATTCGTCTGACTCTCCTGATACGTCTGACAGTAGAGCAATGAAAGACAGATAACATCTGTCGAAATAGGGTTCTCTGGGCTCCTAGTGGTCGATAATGGAAAGATTGCAGAATCTACGCGGGGGCTGAACGAAACACCATCAGGGGTCAGAAGACAGCTGCTTGTTGAGTCCTCATTCCTGACTACGGACGGGCTCACTTGTAAGAAAGTAGGATGCGTACCACTGTAATGAACAGTAAAATAATTCTACGAAAGGTCTTAGCAGTGTACTCAAAATACTGAAGTACCACCTGATAAAACTGCACTGACTTTTAAGGCTACATAGCAACTATTGCTGACTGCTTCGCTGAAATAGCCCTTTTTTATAGGGCACTAATTGTATACCGTAATAATGGAATGAAAATAGGGAGGGGTTACTAAATACAAGCAGTTACGCCCCGACCTGAACCACCTCGCGCCGACTGTTTTCAAGATACATGAAGCTTCTAAAAGGCATCCTTCCCTCTACACTCCCTCTCTAATGGTAAAGGTTAAACAGGCAGCTTTTGAT